GTCTGTTTTCACGAGGGTGGCCTGAAGGCCCAAATGAGGTTGGCCAGAGGATAAATGCCAGTCAGGCACTGTGGGGCCTGACGGGCATTTGCCATAGAATACCTGAACTGGCAGATCCATCACCAGTACTCACAGATAAGAGCAGGTTTACCCTGAACACATGTGACAGCCGTGAAAGGGTCTGGAGAAGCCATGGAGAGCATTATACTGCCTGTAACATCGTTCAGCATGATTGGTTTGGTGGTGGTTCAGTGATGGTCAGGGGAGGCATATCTCCGGAGGGATGCACAGACCTCTACAGGCAAGGCAGCGGCACCCTGACTGCCTGCCATGGATGAAATCCTACGCTAGTACAGTGGGTCCTGGGTTCCTCCTGGTGCACAACAAGGCCTGGCCTCATGTGTCTAGAGCAGGGGTGTCAAACTCAGATACACAGTGGGCCAAAATTCAAAACTGGAACAAAGTCGCGGGCTAACATTAATATTTATTGAAAAAAAAAAATTCCTCCAGATATAAGAATGAATCTTTTCTTATGGACTCAAACAAGTTTTGCTGAAAAACTGAATATGGAACAAGCAAAGCTTAATACTAAACAAAATATATATTAGTTGTATAATACCAGTAGGCCAGCTCTAATAGTAATTTGGTATGGCTTCGCGGGCCAAATGTAATTAGCCAGAGTTTGACACCTATGGTCTAGAGTATGCAGGCAGTTCCTGGAGGATGAAGGAACTGATACCATTGACTGTCCCCCACACTTGCCTGACTTAAATCCAATAGAACATATCTGAGACATTATGCTTTAGTCCATCATTTTTCATTTTTTGGTGTTTTTGAATTTAGCCGCCCGTAGGCTGATCATTTTCATTTCTACCAAACTGTTACCCACTCCATGTCAGTATAGCTATCCAGCATGATATTTCTTTCCTTTGTGATCTGATGTCTTTACAAAGTGTTACTTTAATTTTGTTTAGCAGTAAATATTTTTAACAAGAATAAAAGAGCTATACATCTCCCAGCCCCATCATATATTCTTAACATGTACCCTTTAAAAAAAACACTAACGCACACATATAAATACTTACACCTCAAACAAAGTGGAACACACAGTGCATATCTACATGACTAAATGTATTCAAACAATCCAGAGTGTCTGACACAAACCATTAACCAACTTAAAATACAATACACTACCTGCACAAGCACTTTGCATCTACACACAAACTCACACCCAGAATCCCTCCTTGACCTTAACTATAACCTCCCACAGCTTGTGAGCAGCATGCGGCCATGCTGACAGGCCAACAAGTGAACAAACAAAAGAGCCATTCCATATTTCATGAGCTACCACAGGAAAATACAATGATGATGTGTGAGGCTTGAACACAATAGGAAAAAAATGCACTGCAGTCTTGCTTTGATAGTTTGTCTATTAATGCCATTTCTCTGTTCATTTTCATACACCATGGCTGGAGATGCATACAGCATGTATGTACAGTATGTGTGTGGATAACAAAGCATGTACATGTTATACCATTAGCTATAATAAGCAGCTTGATTTTGTCAGATTCCTAATTCATAAGAAAATCTGTCAGTGTCAATATGCCTCATGAACCAACTAGGACAACTTTCACACTGTTGCACAGGCTTCATAGCCAATAATGCAAATAAGCCTAACTGCCAATTGTCCACCAGCTATTTTACTAAGCTGAAATAACTTTACGTAAAACAAGTGTTCAATAAAACTCAGCCTTGTGAAAATTTTGGAAACTGTTCTTTTGTTCATTGAGCTACTGATTAAATTTGTTTGAGGGACATACGTACTAGCTATATTTTATATTTTCCTTGTGTTGTTTTGTGTATTTTCTACCAGATACTGTGGTACCACACCATTTTTAAAAAGCCACGTGCATTTAAAAATGCATAAATATAAAGAGAGCACAATTAAGTGAAAGAAAAAGGGACCAGAACCAGATCAAATCTGGCCCTCCTCGTATTCGGAGAGTGGTAGTCTGAGTCCGAACCATCAGTTTTACAGCCTCGTACTGACAAAGATAAAACCGCATTAAAGTAAAGTGGCTAAGCCGAGATGTGTAAATGTCTGTTTTTGACTTACAGCAATAGAAATGGAGAAGTGAAAAGACTGACTGAGAAAAAAAGGACTGAGCTCTCTTTTTTCTAGAAACATCTTAGGCTGTTCATCTGGGTACTTTTTTTAAACTTCATTAAATGCAAATGTTTCAACATGTACTTGTAATTCTTTGCAATAAAACAAAGGCAAAACTTCAGAGGTGTTTTCAATTGGTCATTCTGCAGCAGTTTTACTGGTCAGCCCACTAGAGAGCCAATCGAGCTCTGTGCGGTTGACAAAATGAAATGATTCGACACCCTGATTTAATGGCTTTGTCCTCTGCCTACACTCGACCTCTCCGTCAAGTTTTGTTAAATTTAGCTTGGTGGTTTTCTCTAATCTTGCTGACAGGGAGTCAGATGAAAGAGGGGCACTCTGAAAGTGCAGATCTCCACTAGAGCCAATACCCAGCCAGCACAACGTTAAAGAAAAATGATCCAGAGCCACATCGTATCGGCTTCTTTCTGTGGCCGTAGTAGTTTGATGAAACTCAGCCTGGTACAAAGAAACAAACCTGACACAAGGCTCTCAGTGAAAACACAGCCTCAGCAGGGATAAATGCGATGATTTAAATGTTTGGGGTTTTTTATATTTAGTTTCACAATTTTTAATCTTTAAAGAGATGATCTGCTTTAGCCATGTGATTCATGCTTCGCAATCACAGTTATTCATCAGCTTCTTTTCTACCAACAGACTAGCAATGCCTACTCATAGTCAGTCACATGCGCACAAGCACAGCCTTTGGATTAAACTTATTAAATGGTTTATTGTGGTCCACCTGCACCAATGCAGTGTGCCAATGCAGATCAGTCCACCACCACCACAACTCACTCCTCTGAGGTCAGCTTTTTCCCACTGGTAATTTATTATTACATATTGTAAATGGTAAATGGACTGATTCTTATATAGCGCTTTTCTACTCTCAAAACTGACTACCCAAAGCGCTCTATACAACACACCACATTCACCCAGTCACACCCATTATCACAAGCACTACCTCTATACTGAGTGCTTTCTAACTACACTCACACACATTCATACGGAGAGCAACTTGGGGTTAGTATCTTGCCCAAGGATACTTGGCATGCAGACTGGAGGAGCTTGGGCTCAAACCTCCAACCTCCCGATCAGTAGGTGACCTGCTCTACCTCCTGAGCTACAGCCAACCCAGGAGTATGTATTTATAAAAGGTTTGTAGAAGGTTTAGTGTGATCTCTAAAGTCAGCGAGTCAAAACTACAGCATGGCCTCAAAGTGTTGCCATAAAGTGAGCCGATGTTTTTAGATCAAAACTCTGGATTAAAAAAATATTAATGTATTCGTCAAATTTGTGTGTTGCCTGTTGTGACACAAACTCACACACCAGGAAATATTCTGAATTTTAATGAGCGTACAAATTATGTCTGCAAAGAGTGCAAAATTACATGCAGGAAAGGTGGGAGGGGGAAAGAACAGGAGGGGGTCTTGAGGGAAGGTGTCGGTTGTTTTCTGATGTGGCAGATGGAAAAATCAGCTCCTTTAGCATAACAACTTCTATGTGAGCGGCAAGAAACTCTGCACTGACCCAGAGATACCCGCCCAGTGCTTAAGGCAGTCAATTAAAATTGTATGATCAACTGTGTCAAACGATGCACTTAGGTCTAAAAGGATTAGGACCGAGCAATCTTCTGCATCTGCTGTTAAAAGGAGGTCATTTGTTACTCTCATAAGGGCTTTTATGCACACCACACAGAACTTCACATTTAGAAAAATAAGGCTGGGGCTTAAAAAAAAAAAGGCAGATGTGGTATGTTGACGCTCTTAAAATATCTCTATGACAAACTTGTCTTTTTAGTAGAACCCAAGATGAAATAACCAACAACAAGAGAATCATAGACATCAAAAATGTGTGATTCACCGCGGCCATCTGGCCCTATTTTGTCACAAAGCAATGAACAAATGGGATGAGTTCAAAATGAAAACGCTGGTGAAAAAGTGGCACGAAAACTTGTCTTTTATTTAGAAGAGAGAAGACGTACATCTCCCTCAGCGCAAGCCATGAATATTTCAGTCCTAACTCAACTTCGCCTCACAAGGAGCAGCACCCGTGCCTGCGCAACAGACGCTAGTACACAATAACAAACACACGCGCGCACACATTAGCACGGATAAGTCAGCTGTTAACTTACAGGTCAAAGCGTAGATTCTGTCTCTCCTCGAAGAAATAGTCAAGGATGAACTTGCGGACAAAGTCGGGGTTGAGGGTGTTGTCGATGACTTCTGTCCTACCAAACTAGAAGGGAAATGACAGAGGTGATATTTTATTACTGGGAGCAATAAGGGGGCGGGACACACTGACATTGACAACTGACAATCTGAATCATACAGCATATAAGCACACCAGCTTCATGTCAGACACTTTTTCATGAAACTAGGCTAATTATAGTAATATTTAAATTTCCCCTTCAGCACATACACAACATGTGCCACTCCTTTAAAAACTGCTTTCTTGTTCATTCATTTATTCACCAGGAACTCTAACTTGGTCACATGAGATATTGTGTGTGCTATTTGACTTGGGATAAGAAGACGTTTTGTGAATGGAATCATATTAGTGTTTCCTGAAACTGTGCCTTTCTCCTTAACTGTCACGGGAATATCTCAATGCAATGATGGAGCACAGCAACATAACCTTACTCATATTTATAGTCTCATCTTATAGTAGCAAAGACAATTTTATGACCCATGCACAAGTAATTCAGTCGTCGCAGACTGAACGTCGACCCGACATGTAGTTACATTTCTCGGGAAGTGCATCTCAAGTTATGTGGAAAGTTACAGCATAGATTTATTGCATTAGTCCAAATCAGGCCATGGTCTCACTGACACCTGAAAGATGGCCTGTAAAGATCTCTAGCCCACATAGCACTCGCTAAGCTAGTTTAATTACACAAATGGATAAATATGGATGCGCACCAAATGACAGCAACATAATTAAACATTTTCATGCTTTCCAAAAAGAAATGTCTGCACATAACTGTTAAGATTCTATCATTAACACAAGAAAGCACAAGAACAGAGTGAGCTTGGTTAAATTTGGTCAATTCAAACTAACACAAATGTCCCAAAAACACCATTACTAGCAATTGTTTCATCATTCAACAAATGGCCCACAGGCAACTTGAAAAAAAAAAAGGATTAGCGTGACTCACTGAAAAGCTGCACTGCTGCCATTTATACACAATGCCTTCACAATCCCATCGCTGTACTCACCTCTCTCCATTCCTTGTTGGCTATTCCTTGAGTGTACAGGACACAAACTGTTGAATTAGAAGCAGGGAGGGGAAAAGAGACAGGAGACAGTCAGATTGACTGAAGGGTATTTAACACTGAACAAAACAATGCTAAGATGTCAGCTGAGAGCTAGTCCGCCCCTCTGGACCCCAGCATGAGAGGAAAACTCCCTAATTAAATGTCACTCGAACTTTTGCCTTGTAGCATGGTGATATTTCAGAGAGGAGAAGAGGAAGGAGGGAAGAGGAGGATGAGGATGATGGTGCTGGGAGTGGTGCGTGTTTGAATGCAGGAAAGTCCTCCTTATTGACATTTGAGGATCTTCATCCAAAGGAGTCTTGAGTGTGTTTTGATGAGTGACCACTTGTGGGAAGAGAGCGAGGCAATCGGGTAGCAATAACATGACATATCATTTGGATTCGAGCAGCCAATACTGTACTTACACCCACCTGTCACTTACCAGCGCATAAAAACTCTGAGCTCACACACTTGTAAATTTGTTTGAAGAGTGAATAATTGAATGGTGGAATACTAATGCTGACAAAGCACTTAAGTTATGGATACGTTTTCAATTCCAATAGCAAAGCTATGAAACTGAAAATGAGGTCATACCTCAGCAACTGCTTTGTGTACTGACATGGTGATGAGGTTGACCAAGTAAAGGAGCATTACCACAGAATTTTAAAAATGCAGACTGTATATAAAAAGTTGGATGTTGTGTCCAGGTCTGAAAAATGAAGCCGATGTGAAAGTGCCGTTAACTGGCATTCCTGCTAACGGCCAGCAGGGGGAAGCTTCACTGTTTGGTTGGTTGCACAGAAGTCGTTAAACCACCCTCAGTTGCTTTTTGACCTCAGTTAATGCTTTTCTAATGATGAAAGCTCAATCGCTACTTAAAACTCTTAAAAACATCACTTTGAAAATATAATGTATTTTCTCCATTAGATTCAAAGAGAACAACGAAACAGTTTATGCATTAAGCTAGGCCTAGCTCCTGACAAGTCTCCAGTTGGTATGTCACAATAGGGCTGGGCCATATTATACCGTTCACGGTAATACCGGTATAATGTTAGGCAACGACAGGAAAATGAAATATCGCGATAGAATATGAGTTAAAGGACGCATGTGCAGTGCCTTTGTTT